AACGATGAATCATTGGCCTCTTTTTCAGTTGGACATTAAGAATGCATTTCTTCATGGAGAACTTGTTGAAGAAGTATATATGAAGCAACCACCAGGGTTTGTTGCTCAGGGGGAGTCTGGATTAGTCTGTCGACTTCGTCGATCTCTTTATGGTCTCAAGCAGTCTCCTAGGGAATGGTTTGTCCGTTTCTGAACTGTTTTCTAACAATTTGGAATGACCCGAACAAAAGCTGATCATTCAGTATTCTATAGGCATTCATCTCATGGCAAATGTATCTTTCTAATTATTTATGTTGGTGATATTATCATCACAGGTGATGATCATGAAGGTATTATCCAACTTAAGCAGCATCTTTCAAGTCAATTCCAGACTAAGGATCTGGGCAAACTAAAATATTTTCTAGGCATTGAGGTGGCACAATCTGGTAGCGGCATTGTCATCTCACAAAGGAAGTATGCCTTGGATATTTTGGAAGACACTGGTATGTTGAACCGCAAACCTATGGACAGTCCCATGGATCCAAATACTAAACTTGTTCCGGGACAAGGGAAACCTCTAAAAGATCCAGGAAGATATCGGAGACTTGTTGGCAAACTCAACTATCTTACGATCACGAGACCTAATATCTCATTTGCAGTAAATGTGGTTAGCCAGTTTCTCCAGTCACCTTGTGACAGTCATTGGGATGCAGCAATTCGCATCATAAGATATGTCAAAGGTTCTCCGGGACAAGGTTTATTGTATGAAAACAAGGGACATGCAGACATTGTTGGGTATTCTGATGCAGATTGGGCAGGTTCTCCCTCTGATAGACGGTCCACTTCAGGTTATTGTATTTTAATTGGAGGCAACCTAATATCCTGGAAAAGTAAAAAGCAAGATGTGGTGGCTAGGTCAAGCGCAGAGGCAGAATATCGGGCTATGGCATTGGCTACTTGCGAGCTTATATGGCTAAGGCAACTTCTACAGGAGTTAAAGATCGGAAGGGANCTCCCTCTGATAGACGGTCCACTTCATGTTATTGTATTTTAATTGGAGGCAACCTAATATCCTGGAAAAGTAAAAAGCAAGATGTGGTGGCTAGGTCAAGCGCAGAGGCAGAATATCGGGCTATGGCATTGGCTACTTGAGAGCTTATATGGCTAAGGCAACTTCTACGGGAGTTAAAGATCGGAAGGGACGAGCCAATGAAATTGATTTGTGATAATCAAGCCGCATTATATATCGCTTCAAATCCAGTATTTCATGAAAGAACGAAGCATATTGAGGTAGATTGTCACTTCATTCGACAAAAGATTGAGTCCGGGTGCATTATTACGAGTTTTGTCAACTCAAAAGACCAACTAGCAGATGTCCTCACAAAATCACTCCGAGGATTCAGAATTGGCGATATTTGTAGCAAGCTAGGAGCATATGACTTGTACGCTCTAGCTTGAGGGGGAGTGTTAAATATGGCAAGAATTGATGCTATGCAAATATGAAAAGATACACAAATCCCAATAATTAAGTAATTAGGAGATTTTGTAGGCTTGTAATTGTAGTCTTTCCTTATTTGTATTTCTGTCAAAAGTTATTTAAACCCAACAGCTTGAGGGAATAATCTAGCAATCTATTCACCATTTTTCTTCTCTTCTTCTTTCACATCAAAGTGGTTGATTTCTCGCAGTTTACAAGATCTGAATTTGCCGCCCAAAAGAATCATTACTAATTATGTTACATAAAAGCAGCACAGGTGTGGTTATTAACATTGAAAGACAATCGACGAACTGTAGTGTTGTTTCTCCTCAGCTTCTATCTTGGTAATTACTAGTTCTATTTTACTCATTCGATTTCTTTGCCGTTGAAAAGATTGTGTAAAGTAAAATAAGCCTTGTCCATTTGTCCCGCCAGTGGGTCAAGGGTATGAAACTACAGAATAAACCTGCACGAAATCAATCATCTCCAACCTATACATAGCCATTCTGATACTCATCCAAAACCACGTGTCATACTACTTGCTCTACTTCATTCAAGAAGAGAGGCATAAGAGCACGAAGGACTGGCATGCATATCATTTCCAAATAATTGAGATGCTTTCATATGAGGGGATAGAGGAAACCCTGCAAATAAAAGATGCTCTAACGGAAGTACCTTTGTCGTGACATCAAATGCTGAAGAGCTCCCACCAGTAGCATTGATCCAGTTAACTATGCGCTGGCGATGGGCATCTGGATGCATCAGAATAACACAAATGAATTTTCTACACAAAGTATGTCCTCAATGGTTAAGGACATTGCCACCTAATCAGTTTCAAAGCTGAACCGAGAAATGACCCTGGTTAGCACAGAGAGTTGGAGCCAGACCACCTTTTGTTATTTGCTCGAACACATCTCAGAAATACCCAGTTACAAGAATTTGCATAAAATGACCAAATCAGTTGTCATAACCTAGCTTCATGCACAACACTTGTCAAACTTTACAATCCCAAGCTGAAACCAGTTAGACAAATCTACAGCTACAAATGAAAAATGCTCACCTTGGTTGTAACACAAGTTTCCACCTTCATAAGCCAGACTATCCCAATACTCGCCAATAGAAAATGCGGGATTTGATGCTTCTATATATTCTTTCACATATCCCCCTGAAAAGCCCCTGCAGACAAGAAAGAGCCCACATTACTGCAAATGACAAAGGTATCCTACCGAGCAGAAAGATTCATAGGACTGAATAGATCAGCCACTTTCCAAATATCATAGAGTATCGACTCAATTGAAGTTAAAAACTCCAGGAATGTATTACATGAAAGTGCCACGTTGATTTCCCTCCTAACATCTCATTCAAAATCGTCCGAGCATTTTTTCATTCTGGACCACAACATAGTTCTTAGACTATACCTAAAGGATAATAACATAACATGGAGATCAAAATGAAGATGAAATACAGCTCCATGAGAGGTCTGATGTCTGAAATATGATCGTTGTTTCCAAATATTCTTCTATTGAATGTAGACATATAGCTCCAGCAGAATCAAATACGTGACAAGAAGTTTCCACCTTATCTTCATTTAGCTTCCAACGTCCATTGAAAGGAGAGACAGAACAGACAGACAAACAGAGATAGAGAAGACTTGAACAGCTACCCCTTATAAACTTCGGGAAAGGAAAAACTAGTATCAATAAAACAAGCAGGTAATGCAGTATAACCACATATTGCAACAAGAGAGTTCTGTTTTTCCTCTTGATTTTCAAGTTTTCTAACCAATATGATGAATGCAAATCAACGTTTTACAAAAAACTGGACTTGTTTCTAGAAATGGAAGACAGAAGTACTAAGTTCAAAAGTAGTAAACCAAGAAGAGTTACGGCTTCACCTCACAAAGTCAAGGCGCCACCCATCAAAACCGATGTCATTTCGCAGCCAATTTAGCCACTCCTTTACATCTTGTCGTACAAATTCCTGGGAATGATCAATGTTTGGTGCAGCATGAAATATATCACCTACACTTCAAAGGCACACAAAGAGGGGGTAACTAGAAAAATCCTGTAAGAGGAAATACTTATAATCTCTTCTCATCAGTCTGTGAAGCTCATCAAAATCAAATATACAGGTGAAGAACAACACTTTTAGAGGCTATTCTGGAAACTTTTTTTTATTAATAAGGTAAGATTTCAGCTATTCTGGAAACTCAAGAAAGTTATGCACCAAAACTGGACTATCTCCAGATGATTCCTCACCTTCACCACATGCTACATAGTCCCAATCATACCCTACTGTCTTGCAGAAACATATACAAATCTGAGCAGAAGCATAAACGTATTGGTGCTCTCAGAAAAGAAAATACAATGAAAAGATTTTACAGTACAAGAATATTAGTTTTGGTAATTGCTTTAATCAAAGACCGGACAAAGACATGTTACAGTAAAATAGCATGTTGATCAATTGAATAGAAAACTTGGGCAAATTTCAAAGACTGAAATCAGAAGCTTGGAGGTGCAAAGATGAAGACAATCTAAAAGAGCACCAATGACAACAGTCATTTTCATTAAATTAAAAAATTAACCAAGATCGCACCAAGTGACAGGAGTTCTCCAATATCTTAGTGTGCTGATAAACCTCTTCCATCTGGCAATTATGGACAGCACATTTACAAACATATCCCATTTGTTTCATGGAGAGAATTTATACCACTTGAAGGATTTCCACGGCCTTGAAAGTTTGGATCATCACAAACAATTGCTTCAGGTCCCCACGCAAGCTTGCCTCCGAAAATGTTCCAGACACCATTTGGACTCTACAATCAGGTGAGAGCATTTATCAACACTTCCAGCATTAGTATGAGTTAAAAGGGTCAGCAAACCTATTGGACTAGTTTGCCTTGATTTACTCCAAAGCAGTCTCTACAAGGTTTATACAAAATGTACAATCTCAAGGAGGATAGGAACTATACACATCCATGAAAGATTGGGTATAGATGGCAATGCTAACTTAGAAGAATATGGTCTATCATACGGGGAGAGACATAGGCAATTATGGAACATAAGAGGTAACAGATAAATCAAATATCATGATGAATGTTTCTTTCTATATACACTCCAGAACTTGGACCAACTTAACTATGCCATCTAAAATGATATTTTAATAAACAATTGCCAGCAAGCACAATGAAATAGTGTTCAAAGTATATGACTTGCAAACAACTCACACTTGCTTCTAGAGCTAAAAGGTTTTCCTACATGAACATTTTATTTCCAAGCAAGGCGAAGCTAACATTCTTATGACATATTAAGAAACAAGGGCAGCAGTTTAGAAAATGAATACCTGTTTATGAGCACATCGATGGTTCAACACAACATCTCCCAAAGCCTGCAAACACAAGCAGAACAGCTAAAAGACAAACCACATTGTTCTATGCCCATAAGCAGCTTAATAACCTTACATAATTCAGAAATTACTCATTTGGTGATAGTAAATCCATTGCACTAGCAGCAGACGTATATTACTGGTTAAAGAAGATAAACATACACAGATTTGCATTTCATGCAAAAGAATACATGGAAAAAAACATGTAATGATTAAAGAATCATGGTAACTGTGTGAATGCACACTTTAAAACTACAAATGCCAAGAACAACAAGTCAAATCACCAATTAGATACTGACCAGAAGATCTTGGTTGTGCATCTCTTCTATGCAGCTTCTAAGCTCTTCCACAGAACCATAAGCAGAATTCAAGTTGTAAAGGTCAGAAGGCATGTAACCTGCAGTAGTCCTGTGTTATTTACAATGCAAGTGATACTGTAAATCTTATTTAACCAAATCATTGAATAAAAGGTAGTTAATTCAGAAGGTTAAGAATCATCTTTTCACCCGAACATATAATGAATTGTTCAATTATTAACAACTCCTCTGAAACAAATAACGATAATGAATAAAAAACAATCATCTACAAAAAATATAAATCAGGAAACAAATGTTATTGTTAGCAGTTCCCATTTGGCTTCTAATCTAAATTGATCAAAGAGGTCAACCTTGAGGAGCAACTGATTCTGTTGGTGGTGGAAACCAAACTGCTGTGATACCACTGCGGGACAAATCAGCAGCTTTATTAGCAAGCTCAAGATACCACTGTCTTCTCCAGCTTTCCCAATTGAAACCTTGGAACTTCAAAATCAAAGAGAGCTTTATAGCTACTAAGAATAAAGGAGACTGCGTGTAAAAGAAGTATAGGCATTGATAATGATAATGATAATGATGTAATGCAGGTGTCCTGTATGAAGACCCTGGAAGAGGATGAGAATTTCAGATAAAAAGTGGTTGTAACAAGAGCTTCATATAAGTTTTTGAAAGCCTCGGAGTGAATTTCATTCCATTAGATGGTGGCGGTGGTAGTGCTGGTTGGTGATACTGATGGAGTGATGGTTATAATAATAATGAGGATGACAATGAGAATGATAGTAACAACAATAGCAGCAGTAATAACAATAAAATGACAATAATAAGAATTATAATAATAATAATAATAATAATAATAATAATAATAATAATAATAACGATGACAGTTAAAACACACAATATATAACATCCTCCTCCCAAATTGGAACATCTTAGTTTGACTTAGGTTATTGCTAAAAGTGAATTATTTACTCTAGGGGAAACATGTAGGTGCATAATAGTTTTTGTTTGTTAATCGAGAATAGAATTAGAAAAGTTCTTTTGTGAAGAGTAAACATGGTCCGATAAAAAATTTCGAGACAGTAAAATATGCTTAATTTTTTTTTTGAAAAGGGAAATATGCTTAATTTTTTTCTTATGATATTATACGGTATTTCAGAAGGAAGTAAAAAAGGAAAGGTGGAAATCCTAGTTAAAACTGAGGAAGTAAGAAATATGGTAAAACTACCAGTTCGCTCAATTTTGATTTCCACCTCTAAATATGTATTCTGCACTAACCCAATAGTAGGTAGTAACTGAGCATCCAGCTAATGTCAAGCACTGATTGCAGCAGTGGAACATCAGGAGGCAGTAGGAGCCTATAGTTAACTCTCCAATCTACCAATCATCTTGATTATCATTTTAGATTTCTGTAGAAAGTAGAACTATGAAATAACATGCACAGCTGAAGTGGTAATTCCCTGCTCTTGCAGAAACCCAATGCACAAGACTCCAAGATAGCAGGGTCTTAGGAGGTCTATCCATCTGCCCATCTAGGTGTAGACTTTCTTCACTAATGATTCTTCTATTTCTTCTACTCGGTCCAAGTCAGGCTCAAATCTAGCGTTCCACTAAGAATACTTGCAGGAACTCTGTACACTTCTCAGTATGACATATGATATATGACTCACATCACCTTTCCCGCAACAATTAATATTTATTACTTTAGAAGCAAGGCCTCTTTCTGTGATCTGTTTATACAAAAGCTCTTGCTGGATGGAAACAATTTTTAAATGAAAAAATCTGCATAAGTCAAACCGGTGTGTCAGCTAGTTTTCAAAGATGGAAATAAATTTCTTCAACTTGCTTAGCAGTGGCTTTGGAACAGAAGTTATCGATGGAGCAGTCATATGTTTCTTAATGTATCAAAAAGAGTTGGAGAGAAATAAAATGCAATATTGATTCAAGTCACAACTAAGCTTACATTTAACAGTCAAACCAAGTATAAGTTGATGCAAGCTAAAAACTGATTCAAACACAAATCAAAATAGAAGCTGGTATATACTGACCACAATCTCTCGTCCAGTACCAGTCCCTGACTCTGCATGCAAAAAGTCGATTATACACAATTAAGCATTTGAGAACAAGCTTCACGAGTGAACTAAAGTAAGATCTTTGACATGAATAGCGGTACCTAGTTTTGTTTCTTCTGGAGTTCTCTGCCATTTAACTGTCTTCCGTTGAAGAGCACGTTCCAAAGCCTTCCTCTTCTTTTCAATAACTTCTTTCTCAATCACATGCTCAACTAGCACATCTCCTTCCTTTAGCTTTTCTTGGGCAATAGACCATACTTCATCAGGTTTTGGCAAGTCCAAAGTTTTATATCCTGCTGTCATGGCCTCAGATACATGAGTCTTCCTAGGTGGAAACCTGGGACGGAGAGATCTTATCCTCCGTGCCATCCACTCAGGAGTTGGCCTGCGAGGACCATCAGTTAAAAGTTTCCATTTCTGTGAATCGTCATCCATAAGAAGGTCTATTCTTCCACCATTAACAGAATAAATAGCTTCTTCATCCCCTTCTTCTGAAGAACTTTTCTTTAGTAACATATCCTCAGCCATTTCTGCTCTTTGCCTCCACATTTTCGAAGCAGCTTCAGCTGCTCTTAAAGATCTCTGCAGTGCTTCACATCTTCGCATATATGCCTCATCTTGCGAACGTGCTGTTTCTCTTGCTGCTTCAATTGCAGCCTTCATTCTCTCGATCTCAAGCTTAAACGCCTTTGATGCTGCCTTCCTTTTCTCGGTAGCATCTTTTCTCATTTTCTCTAATGATGACTTAATTTCCTCCTCCTGTTGGAGAGCTGCTTTTCTACTTGACTCCTGAAACTCGTGGAATAATTTCTCCACATCATTTGCACGGAGTTCGTATGCTTTTGCTTCTTTACGCGCTTGGTTTAGCTCTAATTTCAATCTGTCAATGTCATTTCTATAAACCAGTAATTGAGACTCCAAGTCATTCACAGTGTTGCTTAACTTAATATTCTGGGACTGAACTGATATGATCTCATCAACCGAACCCATGTTATCTACAAATGCAGCCATGGCTTTTGTTGTATGGTCGCCAGCTGATTCAGCTACAGCCAAAGCCTTTTCTATGGCATCCTTAGACTGTTGCAGAACAGCGGTTATGGCCCCTTCAGAGGCACTCCTTATTTGTTCTTCAATTTGAAAAGATGCCTCTGCTGCAGAAGCTTCGGCAGCTGAAACTCGTAATTGTGCATCTTCAAGTATGTGAGAAGTTGCCTGCTGAAAAGCAATCTCCGCAAGCTTCTCAACCTGAACCGCAAGTTCAACTGCATCTTGTTTTGCCAAGACCAACTTAGATTCTAAGCTAAATTTCTCCTCCAAAGACTCTTCTAGCTTATTGTTAAATAGAGCCTCCGCAGCCTCAAGTTCTGATATGGCCAAATCCTTATCGTGCATTACAGTTGACAAATACTCCTTCTGTTTAGCCTCAGACCAAGCTAACTTTTCAAGCAATTGATCTCTTTCCTTTTCAATGGCTTTGTTTCTGGCGCGAGCATCAGAGAGAGCTTTTCTAGTTGCCAACAGTTCATTGTCATCAACCCCTATTACCTTGCTACTCCCTAACGAATTATCATCCCCATCATCAAGGAAATCTGTGAGAGCTTCAGCTGAGTCATCCTAGATGTAACAATGAAGTTTCAGTAGTAGTAATCACTAGCACCATAACTCAGTTAAATAACAACTATCAAAGATACTTGTAGGAGGCATAGAAATGTAAACCATGCTCGAGAAAATGACATGTCTTGGTTTGCAGAGCCAGGCATCCGCGAATAGAACTTTTCTGAAATAATAAGATTATCACATTTAACCTTTCTTGCATCCAAAAAATTTCAAACTTTGTGCATACTGGAATGAATATCACACCTTTTCCCACCAGAAGTCCTTCTATTGATCGTGGGAAGTGACTTAACAGCAAAAACTTGAATAGGGTCATGATGTCTGCACGAAGAAATGCTAGGATGATATTGAACAGATCCAAATAATGCATCTGGTAATGTGCTTGCACCCATATTTTCCTGTCAAGAGATCACTAATAAATAAAGGACCAAAATTCCATAAACATAGTATCAACCAATCAATCTACTACTACTCAATCCCAAATGTGTTGAGGTTGTTATATGAATCCTTTATAAGGTGAGACACATGTGATAACTATCGTGGGATTGCACTTCTTTTTTTATATAACTGTGATATTCGGGCCAGCTTAGGCATAGCTTGACTAATTCCACGGAATATCAGCTACCTCCCACCAGCAACGGATACCAGGTAACTCTGTCCACCAAGGTTTAGACAAAGAAGAATAAATCACCTAGTGTTTTTGCCTCGCTGGGGTTTGAACCTGAGACCAGATGGTTCTTAACCCACTTCATTGACCCTAGGCCACACCCTTGGGTGCTTGGGATTGCACTAAGTTTGCTTTAAATTATTAAGTTATATATACTAAGGGCTAAAATCTAAGTGATCAAAAATAAGAGAGGCATTTTTTATATAACTCCGCCTGCGTGAGATTGCTCACATTGTCGGTCCCAAGCCCGGATAAAGGAGGAGGGTTGCAGTAGGTAAACAGCCAGCATAAAACATGCCAATTTCATGATGAATCCTCACATTACATACTTTTTTATTTGTATTTGCATGATATTGGAACGAGATGAGTTTAAATTGTGTAATGTGGTTAGTGAAGATTCATATAACCGACCGCAACTTGTTTGGGACTGAGGCGCAGTTGTTGTTGTTGTCGTATTTTTTTTTTATATATATAACTAAAGGTAACTTCTAAACATGATGGACCTTGAGACTATAAACTGACATTTTAGAAACCAGTTCTGTTTTTAACTTAAGAAAGAACTTAAGGTTCCATCAGTCACAATAACTGAAAGCAATAGAAATAACATCTCCATTGCAAACTTCATTCACAATAAACAGTGGGACTTACAAACCACGTCTTTTATCCTCCCCAGTAACTTGATTCAATGAATCCACAATATACACATACCTCAGTTTCCCTCAGGCCATGACAATATCATTTGGCACTTAACCACAATGCACAATTCACGGCTAAGTCTAGTTATCTCTCCTTACTCCCACCAAAAATTAGCTCATCTTACAAATGGATTTGGAAGCTCCATATCCCCCCAAAAATCATCCATTTCCTTTGGCTATGTAGCCATGAACGCCTACCCACAAAACAACACCTTCATAAATTAACCATTACCCCAACCAATTTATGCGACACCTGTCAAGACATTGAATCAATTTCGCATATTTTTGTTCACTGCCCAAATGCTAGGCACTTTGGGCTCAACTGGACCTACTACCAACTATACAACAAGTCTTACAACGCTCCATCAACACACTTCAATGGCATTTTCAACTTATCCATCTCAAACATCACACCTTTCCCAATCAACTACCAGCCTCCACCTTCATTCCCTATTGCCTCTGGCACCTTTGGCTAACACGTAATCACAACTCTTTTCATAACCTTCAACAAAAGGTTGACAGTTCTTATATAACATCATGAGCATCTGAATTGTTTTACCTCACTTCCCCCACGCGTACCACTAATCGTAAGACCCCTCTTTATATAAAATGGCAGCCCCCAAAAGTAGGCCACTACAAATTAAATACTGATGCTTCCTCATCTAACCGTCATGGTAGAAATTGCGTTGGATTTCGTACCTCAAGTGGCGATTGGTTACCGGATTTTGCAGAAACTGTTTTACAAGGATCCAGCCTGGAACTGGAACTCAACGCTTTGCACAAAGGCTTGCAACTGGCTCTACACCACCAACTATTTCCTTTGGAGATCAATGTGTATGCTGCTATCTTGTTTAACTCTTACAGAACTCACATACCCATGTTAATTCTTTTGTTGATGATTGCAGGTTCATGCTCAAGCAACTGAATGATCCCGTCATCAGCAGTGTTTACAGGGAGCAAAATATAGTAGCTGACACTTTAGCTAAGTATGGAACCACTATGACGGACAACAACCATGGGTGCCTCCTACACTCACCACCACCTTTTGCTATGGCTGCCCTCAAAGCAGACTTCCTTGGAGTGCCCACCATGCGTCTGGTCAATGCTTGCTCTTCTACCACTCTTTCCCCCACTGTACATTCATCCCAAGCAACGACCTCTAGGCAGCATCTTTTTGTTAATGCTCCCACTAGGGATCAGCTATTAGGGGTATATCTATAAACCCCTCCCTACTAGTTAGTTCTTTTGTTCTACCAGATGCACCTAGCCCCCTGTAGACGCTTTGTTTTGTTATTAATATGATGTTGTTTCTAAAAAAAAAAAGGGAAGCAACAGGATGATACACAAAACGTGTAGAAGAGCATGTCGAAATAGCTGAAATGAACAATGCGGTGCAGCAGTGAAAGTATTGGAAAGAACAAACACGAGCATCAAAAGAAGAAGACAGCTACCAATTTAGAGCTTCATAATTTGATGTTTACTCAATAAAATCGAATTGATAGAGAAGCACTTTATTTACCTGATTGTGATGTTAAATTGTTAGACGAAGAGCCTCATTTGAATTTTGTTATCCCAAAAGCTGAAGTGAAGTTAAGTGGATGAATGTTGGGATTCAAGTAGTATGTTATGTGTACATGGAGGAGGAGAGCTGAATGTACGGCTGGCGCTGAGAAGGAAAAAAGGTGTTCTACTTTTCACTTTTCAGCAGGAGCAAAAGAGGCCACTGATTGTTTAATGAGTGTTCCAGTTGACTTCATTCGTGAAAAGACACATGTACCCTTGAGCAAGCTCCCATTCTCCACTATTGCCTTTATAACTATGGGTGATCATGGTTCGATATGGATCAGTTTTTACTTAAAAAGTAATCAAACCAAACAAAATCATTTAAGTCGATCTTTTATCTATTCGATTTATATTAATTTTGTTCTTTTTTTTTATTTTTTTTTAAATATGAGACATACACTTCTAAATACATATTCCGCAACTACATTTTGAACAAAACACTATCAAACCAACTATTCTTTGATAAATCTATAATTTACCAAGATATATCGATGATAATTCAAATGATAAATAATTTAAGTACTCAACCAAAATTAAAATAAATCATTTTTTTACATGAAATAGATTGTTGTACTTAGGAAACGAAAACTACCTATCAAATTAACATGCAAAGAATTAGATTATTA